GTAAAACAAGTGACAACCCAAGTATATATAGTGCACTGTGCTTGGTGTATTCCATCATTTGTATGGTAGCAGCATGGGTTTTTTGTTTAGGAATTTTTTTTTTAGACACTGACCCTCCCTCAGTGGGAGACTTAAAGACGCTGGTGGCAGCAGATATACCGGTTCTTATTTACAGTATTGCGCATGCTCATAACTATGCCCGCCGCGCCTGCCAGAACAACGCGTGCATGCTTAGAACTAGTAAAAAAGGACCGGTGTGTTTGTTGCCACCAAGCGTCTCAAAGTCTTCCATTGAAAAAGATTTAAGAACCATACACTATAACAAAGCCAAGGGTGCCCTTAGAGTTCCCGTGTCAATTTTATCTGAGCTTTATATTTACTGTACATGTACATGTATACAAATCACAAGCAAGTAGGATGCACATCTGAAGCTGCCTCGTCATTGTAGGGCTGTGCCAAATATTCAAATACATGTATTCAGTCGATTAATTATCAAATATTCAAATTTTTTTTCTAAATTTGAATATTTGAATGCAAAATTTATGAAAAGGAAGGGAGAACTTTCTTTGTTTTTCATGAGCGAAATTGTACTATAGAGGCTTGTTTCAAACAGGTTCAAATGAAAAGCGACAAATCTTATGGCAATTCAAAAAGTAAATTATTCATTAAAAAATTCAGTCTTAAAATTAAATCTTGCTAAATCGTGCCTGGAGATACTCCTAGCATCGAGAAGCTATTAAAGTGGTTATAATGTACAATTGGATGCGTTTTGTATTAATGATTTTGTATATGGTTTGTTCATCGACAATCTGCTGGTCGGTATGACTGACCGTATATATTCAGATATTCGATTGAATTGAAGGTTGAATATTTGAATAGTAAATTATTTGAATTGACTCAGCCCAATGTCATTTGCCTTTTTCTTGTTTCATAAATAATCTACAGTTTGAAGAAGGAGAGATTTGTCCGGCCGAAGCTGCTCAAAATTTGTAGCAGAAAGCACTACAAGCATCAAGGGAGATGGGGCCAGATGATATCAAGCATATTCTAACTAATCTATCCCCACAAGAGGCCTCTCAGCTACGCAACCATCTCCTCTCAAGAAATGTGGAGGAGTTGGGTCTCACGCCTGACCAGGCCCTGAGCATTCTGCAAGCTCTTGAAGAAGGGGACTTTGAGACAAAGCAAGGGGCGTCCAGTGCACCTCTAAGAGCACCTACTGCGTATTCATCTCACCTAGTGGAGGATGTCTCCCAGCTCCTGTCCAACTGGGAAACTGTCTTTGGGTCCCCACCACCACCAAGTCTCCAGGGTGGGATGTCTGGGGGAGGCAGTTATCAGACAGGGTTTGGAGACGAGGTATCCCTCATCCAGCAGAAGGTAGAGATGCTAGAAAGGAAGAGAGCCCAAATCTTGCAGCAGCTGCAGGGGCCTAATCCGCAGCCATACCCAGGATATGTCAGGGAGACTGCGGAATGGGCTGGACCCCAGGCAAAGCAGAAGATGATACCTGGTGAAGAGGTAAATTCATGTTCTGTAGAGATCATTGTTTTTTTTCTTTTAACCAAATATTGACGGCAGTTCATTGAAACTGGATTGTTTTAAGAGGTACATGTACGCTAGTACGGGCTGTTGAGATCTCTCTCTTTTTGATTTTATTGGCTTAAAAAGAAGGTTGTTCTTCATAATACACTCTGAACTTGGTAAAACAGATGAGACTGTTACTTGGGAAATGTATGTAGGATGCAGTAACGGTCCCACAATAGAACATGTACATTTTGTCTTTAAAATTACTGTGTTTCTGAGAATGGGTTGAATAGATGTGTCAAATGTCAGCAAGTGAAGTTTGTCTTGGTAGGAGATCAGATTCCCCATGTATTGTTTTTAGTAACTTGTACCATACTTGTTCCTTGAAGGCATGACGTTCCTCATAAGATGTCTATTTGCTTTCTTTGCTTTACAGGTGTGGATCACAGGCTTGTCAACAGATTCGATGCTCTGTCACTGCATTTTTACACTTGCATATGGTACTTTTGTTTATACTCCATTTCATTTCAGGGCCTTCGTGGGGAAGGACCCAGATTCTTCACACAGGCTGAAAGAGGCAATACGGTTGTAGGAAACTGGGGTGGTTCCTGGACAAACCAGCTGCAAGGTAATCACCAGACTTTGGGGGGGAACCAACTCACAGGAATAAAAAGCCAAGCTGACAACTGGAAGGAAATGCAGATGAGTAACCAGCAAGCTGGAGGCCCACAACTTCCAAGGAGACGCAAGGCATCTAGATGGGATTTGCCCGGAAGTGATGGGAACCAGGCAAGAGGTGGAGGGAACCTGGCCACAGGTGGTGGGAACTTGGCACAAAGCAGTGGAAACCAGGTAAGAGGTGGTATGCAGCAGGCAAAAGGGGTTGTTGGAAACCAGGCAGGAGGTGATGGAAACTGGTCTAAGGGTGACAGCCAGACTATATGGACCCAGCCTGACGGGGATAAAAAGACAGGAGGCACGGGAAAAGCCAATCTTGGAAATCAACCAAGAGTCATTTATCACACTGGGGTTAAAAAGCAGGCCACAGCTTCAGACCAGGAAAGACGTGGCTACCAGGCCACAGGTGGAAAGCAGGCAAAGGGTATGAAACAAGGAAGGGGCGGAAACAAACCGGGAGGTGGAAGCCAAACCAAAGGGAGCAAGAATAAAGGCCGCAACCAGACTAGGGGCAGAAACCGGACAAGAAGTGGGCAGTACAGACAAGATGGGGCAGGCGATGCTGCACAAGGATCTCGGTCAAGAAGTCGCAGCAGCAGCAGCAGGCGTGGATACCAGGGGAGGATGGAATCTGACGACAGGGGCAGTTTCAGGGGAAGAGGACAGGGTCCAGATGAAGACCACTCATGGGAAGGGGGGAGTTATGATGAGCCAGGGTACAACTATCAAGACAGGGCTGATGATTACTATGATGGGCGACCTCGGGACGGTTCCTGGGAGGGGCACAGAGACACCGACTACTTTGATCAGGGTGATACCAGAAATGATGAATACAAACAAGGAGATGACCAAAGATTCGACTGGGATGATTACGGGGAGGACAGTAGGGATTTTGTAGTTGGCCATGACTATTATCGGGATGAGTCCAGGTCTCGCCCAGAACAAGCAAGAGGCAACAAGGATGACTACAGATCCGATGAATTCAGACCAGCCGATGCTGATGACGGCAGACGTGGTTTCAAGCGCAAGCGAAGTGCTAGTTACAGAGACGAAGAAGCATACACGCTTGATTTTGCCCCTGACAGTACAGAACGGGGTTTGCAGAATCAAGTAAGGAGGAAGAGGAAACCAAAATCTTCAAGGGCACTTGGGTATGGCAGGAGAGAGGAGAGAGAGGGTAGCCATGAGGGCATAAGAGATTTTGATCAGCAGTATAAGGATTGGAGAGGTGATGTTAGGTCAGAGTCTGGTGACCAACGGAGTCATACTGGAATGGTTTCACAGGAAGTGGAACCATTTGAGAGACGGCACTGGGACAGCACTGAGCGGAGCACAGGGTACCATCCAAACCAGCCTGAATTTGTTGCCAGGAGTCCCAGTCAAGAAAGGTTTATGGAAACTGGTCCAAGCCTTGTCAACCGTGACAGGCAGGATTTTAGGGTGGCGAACCAACCCATGCCAAGGCCTCTTGAAATTTCAGTCATGAGTAATACCAGACGTTACAGCCAACCTGATGTATTCAGCCCCCCACCGTTGCTGCAAGGGAGTGGCTTTTTTCAGAGTCTCCCACGGGTTTCGAACAGGCCAGTCTTCTCACCAGGTGGAGTTCCCAGAACCTCTCGACCACGCTTCCGTTCGCCAAAGACTAAAACGGTGAACCGGTTACCGAAGAGAGCCACTGGCCCCCAAATCAAACAAAATCTCGCTAAGCAGCAAGCAGCAAAAGCAACAGCGGGAAATCAACAAATAGCCAACGACATCACCGTAAAGCTCGCGAAGATGCTTCTGCGCAGGGCCAAGGTGGAACCGCCCCCCACACAACCAGCAAAGCCTACAGAAGCATCGTCAGGTGGAAACGAAACCAAAGCTGCCCCCTCCAAAACAACCACAGGAACAGCTGAAATGGAAACTGCATCGACTGGAGCAGCAGAAACAGCAAGTGACAGCCAAGATAAGGGAACAGAAGGGACGGAGGTCGCAAAGACCGGTGTCAAAGCAGCAGAGGCACCAGCAGACAATTCCATTCCTGATAAACGAGAGCAGTTCAGCATCAGAACCCAGGTCAGTTTCTGTAGAAATCTTACATGTTAGAGCCCGCTCATATCATTGACTACTACAATGCATGCCCCAAAAATACAAGCCAGAAACTGAATGTTGGTTTATGTATCGTGGACATTGAGTTTTCCATATAAGCTGTTCAACGTTTTAGTTGGTGTGAAAACATTAAAGTTTTCACTACAGTTTTGAAGGAAGTTTTGAAGTTTAAAACTTAAGATTTAAACCTGCTCTATTGGTATGTGTTGGAATAGTGTTATTTGTGCATTTCTTTGTTAAATAGAACACCCATCAGGGTTTTAAAACATACCCGCCAAATGACAGCACCACGGTGTTAGTGCTTTATTTTTTCCATCACTTTCCTCCTTGTGGAGAGAGGACATGTAGTTCTGTACCTGGTCTCAAATCCTTGTTCCCAATGCATATTATTCCAGAATCACGATAACCCATTTGCAAGTTAAATTTGAATAAAATCTGGTGCACTGAGTTATCTGACTGCACATAAACATAACAATTTGAATTCCCCAGACTGAAGACACTGTTGCTATACCTCGTGATTCGGGGCAAGCTTTTGCATAGCGACCACCATCTCTAAAATGGACTGCTTCCTTTGTGCCTTTCTTATCCATTGAGAACTGTGTATTGTTGCAAGGTGTCTTTTATGTAACTAGGTAAAAGCTTGCCCCGAATCACGAGGTATAGCAACAGTGGTTTTTGTATAGAGAATTCAAGTTGTTTTGTTCATGTGAATTATAGAACTCAGTGTACCAGATTTGAAAGTTAACTTGCAAAAGGCATATTGGGTATCAATCTTATGGCCAACTCTCTCTGCAGGTGTCCGCTTTGGAGGATCTTGAACTCCATGGATTCTTACATCACAAAGTCATGACCAAGTGGACGTGCTACATTTGCGGTTTGGTTTTGGGAAATGAAACGGTATGTATGCACAGTATTGGAAGTCAAAGCTTTGAAGCCTTTTTAAACCTGAGCATGGACAGTTTTTACTACTTGCTCAACGGTAGTTTTTGCCGAAAACTTTTGACTTTCAAAACAGACAAGATACAGCAGCCAATTTTCGATGTGCAGCCGAAGGCCACAAATGCAGATTCCCTATATTCGTGTAAACAGCACTTGTTATTGTTCAACACTCTGGGGTGAGTTCAAGGGGCAGTATATGCTTCCACAGAGGATGGTGGGCAGTGGCCAAGTTGAAGTTCAAAATACGGTCTGCCTCCCTGGACTCCTTTGTGTGTGTATACGAAACACATGGGGATTAACGTGTTCAGACGTCAGCCAAATCAGAGTGAAGGTGTGCTTGATGTTTCCACTCATTGGTTACGCCCGTACATAGAGGTAGCCACATTGTGTTTGCATGTCCTCTGGCGCAAAATTGTTACGAGTTTACAAATTTACAGTAAGAAGAGTGGGAAAGCTGTGCTACTTTCTCCTCTCAAAAGAAATAGAGATCCATAACTTTTAGCCGTGTTACTTTTTTCCTCTATAAAGAAATTCAAAGATCACCTGAAGACAGAAGGCCACAGAGTGAAGTTGAGTAGCTACAGTGGAGTAAATAGCCATAGCCTACGGCAGAAGCTTGCCAATCGGCTGAGGACCCTGCCCAACCAGGCTAAGATTAAACCAGCTCAGCTGAACGTCGGGGAGAGCGAGAGAGTCTACTTCTGCAGCTCTTGTTTTCTTGGCTACACGTGCTCCCCGGAGGAGCACAGGCAGCAACCAAAGCATCAGGTGAGGTCCGGGTTGGGTGTATGGTGTGTTTGTGTGAAAGTCCAGCTGTGGCTTGCTGTCAACACACGTGTCTATGCGTAGTGGCTGCAGCCGTTGGCTTGTGGCTTTCCATAGGCACACACGCTATTGTCAGCCGTAGCCGATACTTTTAGACATAGCCTTAGTCCTTTGCATATTCCAGATCAGATACTAATGTAGAGATATTTAGACATTCGGAAATAAGAATTTTTAAATTTTTTACCCAGCTGTACCAGCTGTAATCTCCAATCTGTCATTGATTTTAATCCTTCAATCCACTGTAAAGTTACCAGCTTCAAGAAGCTTTCAGCCTAAACTTTCCTTTTTTTAATTTGAACCTTGGAGTAATTGGAACCAAATCCAATGTTTTTGAGCACATTTTCCTTTGACGGCAGTGGCACCTTTATAAATTACTGTGCAGGCTTCTAGCGCCCATGCATTTGATCAGCAGATTATGCCCGGTACCACCAGTTTTTAATCAAACGTAACACTTTCCATAATCCTTTGTCCTTTGTATCCCCCCGCAAATGCTCAGAAACTTCAAAGGATAAGGTCATTTTGTCCCATCTGTAACTTGTACTTGAAAAAGAGGACCTCCACCAGAAAGCACTACAGTGGTCTGCTCCATTCAAAGGTGAGTTTCTGAAGAAAGATACAGAGCATGCCATGAATATCCCTGAAGACAATGCCTCTAGACGAATAATCCAGCGACGTATCAGTGGGCATTCAGCGAAGGCCCCCTTTACGAATAGTGGGAAGCATTGCGCTGGGTTTTGTATGAAGTGACCTTCGCGGAATAATGCAGTGGCTTCATACAATAGTCATCACAAGAGTTGCCATCATTTTTGGGGGCCTTTGCAAATGACCAGTTGTAGCAGTGGTCACTAGATTAGACCCTAAAAGATTGCATTGTTTTGGTCCGTACGATAATTGTCTCGTGTTTTGTGTCTTGGGAAATCTCAACCGTGCAGTCTTGATAAGTTGTTATATTTCCTGTAAATAAAAGACTTGAATGTTAATCCTAAACCTTTCAAATTGGCTGAAGTCTCAAGAGGGTTTGCAGGGTTATAAGGATTGAGTCAGTATCGTAACCCATCCTCTGTTATCAAATATTTTACTGGATGAGGATGCCCCTTAACCCTAACCCTCCTCAATCTTTCACCTGTTGGAGGACTGAGGAGTGTTAGGGTTAATTGCCATTGGTTTCCTGCACAGTGGAGATTTGGGAGGAGTCAGGAAGGTTTCCAGGACTCAAGTTCTTTGGGATTCAGCATCTGTCCATTCTTCACAGAGAGCCGATGTTAATCACCAAATGGGGGGGGGCATTGTGTGTTTTCTTGGCCTGACTTGCCAGGGTTTCTTATTCTAATCCTCAGATGCTTGAGCTCAGAAAAGCTGAGGATGAGGCTCAGCGGCGCATTCTGAGAGACCATAAGTTGGCCGAGACGCTATTGACGAGAAGCAACCAGGTGAACTTGGGGGCTTCATGAGTGGAGAAGGGAGGGAAGATATTTACCAAGCCGATGATCTCCCTCGGGGTGACACAGTGAAGCTTGGAATTTCCTGGGTTTGTTGGGCTGGTTGAGTTTAGTGGCAATGGGGATGGCATGGGGCACGGTCTGATGGGGTTGGTTAAGCTTGGGGTTGGATTCGGGTTTGGGATTTACAGTGTAGTAGGTTGGGGTTGGTTTGGGTAGGGTATACCTGATGGTGGTACAAGCTGGTGGGTGCATTTTTTTATTTATTTCTCAACCTCCTCGTCAAATGCAAAGAAAGTGTTATGGTTTTTTTATCTCCAATGCTGTGATAGTACCACACCACCCTGGTAGGAACCAGTGCCCACATTTAAAGATTTCTCGCTTGTTTTCAAGAGTTCACATGGCAATACCCCATTGTTCTATTTCTGCAGTAGGGTCCAGTCTACCCATAAGTTTACTAGAAAGTGTCTCACCCTGAATTGCTTTTGTAGAGACAAAAACTCCAGGAGAAACCACAGAACAGCAGCCAATCACAAGTGTCTGGTCAGGCAGCAGCCTCCAAAACTACATCTGCGCTTGACCAAGCTGGTGTTGGGAACCAGAAAGAAGGCTCCACCCACGGGCAACTTGCCAATCAAACACAAGCCCCCAAGGCAACCAGCAAGCCAGCTCCCGGTTCAACAGGTAGGATTCTATATCCCCACTGATTTAGAAATTGCTTGATTGTATGTGTAATGTTGTTGCCATGCATAAAATTTGTCTTCCCCAAACAAGTTTTGATTGTGTTTTAGCCACTTGCCGCTGGGGTTTCTGGTACCGGACACACATGCTTTATACGTGTGGCCGGGGCCTCCGAAATCGGACAAAGGGAACTGGGCCTTGTAACAAAAGACCATACTCGTAACAAACGACCAGGCTGCTGGGCATTACCAACATTTTTTCACTCTCAATTGTGGAAATAATCCAGCCTTGTTTTGAAACTATACCTCGGTTTTTGAGATTTAGCGCTAGCTGATTACCGTCAGGGACAAAAGCGCTTCACCACTGCAGCGATGAGCCACACACTACTGCTGCACGCTAATCTGGCCCCTATTGAAAGAGGTCAGCAGTGCACTGAGCCAGGTTCGTCAACAAAAGAAAGTTACTTAACACCGCACAATCTGGGCTCTGTTTACAAGGCTGCAGGCCTAGCTGAAATATCCAGGCGTCAATCGATTTTGTCTGTCAGATTAGAGGAGCCACCAGACAGTCATTCGTGTGGTGTAAACATCCATTAATTGAAATGATGAATTTTTGAAGAATTTTGAAAACTGAAAATCTTGAAAATGTCCCGTCTGTCTGCACTGCATTTTTCAACCCACCTGGCAGCAAGTGGTTAATGCTCGTGTTTCGTGGATGTGTTAATTTCTCTCAGATTTATATAAATGTTAATAAAAATTTTCATTGCCTGGAATTTTTTATAGAGAGCTCGAAGATTGTATTAGCAGGATAACTGGTCATTCAGATGCACCTCTTCTGGCATGGGTTGGAAGCTAGTTTCAAAACAATGATGAACTTTCACATAAACACAGTGATGCTTGAGCAGATATGAATGACATTCTGATTTGGATTGATGTGAATTTGAAAAAAGTGCCTTATACGTCGTAAATGAGGATTTACTGGAAATGCAGGACCTACAGGCAAGACAACAGATCTGGAGATCCGTGTGCTTAAAATGGACAAGTCACCAGAAGTAATGTCGCCAAAGCTGGATGCTGACTCATCCGCCAAGCTCGACAGCGAAGAAAACGAGGAAGATCTAATCGGTAAGAGCTGAAGCCTATTATCTATACAATCAGATATTGTTCCCGCTTGCAGCCCCCAGACTTGTACGACTCGTGACTTGGACTTGAGTCACTTTTTAACCCCTTCAGAGCGGGATTATTTTGACAGTGACTGCTGGGCCGTGGTATGCCCTGAATGGAGGGCTTTGTCCAGCAGCAGGCCCCATTGAACCAGCAGCTGCGTGGTGAATAGACTGTATGCGTGGTATGCACTAATCCTCGCACAAAGGTGCGGTAGTTGCAGTCCTCCGTAGCGAAGGGGTTAATGACTTGAGAGAGGAGACTTGGACTTGGTATTGATGTTTTGTGGCCCGAAGACTTGTCTGGCAGCCCCCCATACATTTTTGTCGGATGAGAGCTAGAATAACTATGGAAGATCAGCTGGACAGGCAGTCTGTATTCAGCTGAGATAATTTCTTGATATTGGCATGTGATCAACGCTTTCATGGAACGCCTCACAATGAGGCTCAAGATTTGATAGCCAGTGACTGTGTTTGTGTGAGAACTGGAGAAGTGTTCACATGGCTTCTGTGTATTATTTTTAATTGTCATTAATGTCAAATTTCGTAAAAGTAAAGTTTCAGATGCCCGTTACATTATTACATTAAAATTATCAAAATGAGACACTGGTGCAAAGCAAAACTAAACACAAACATGTTACATTTGTAAATTTGCATGACAATAAAACACCAAAAATTGACAATGGTGCATAATTGCGTGATAGTTCTTAACTGACGCATTCTCAATCACTTTCTCCTGTTCCCTTCCAGGATTGGAGCTCGTCATTCCTGTCACCGGCTTCTTCTGCAAGTGCTGCTCAAAGTTCTACAACAACAAGTACACAGCTAGGAGCACTCACTGCAAGACAGACCTACACAAGCAGAAAGTACAGGTGAGGTCCTTGAAACTAATTTCCCAGCCCAACCAGCCCCTTTATTACCTCATCCAAAAAGACATTCCTGGCATAACTGCGTGCTTACTGCTGAGATCGTCAAAACCTGTGCAAATCGATTTATTACATGTATCTCATGAGCTCTCTGAAAATCTCTGCAGAAAAAAATCAAAGAAGGGGTCTGTGTCTTTTTCTTTTTTACAAAAAAACTAACTTGTTTGAAATTTAAATCCCATTGTTATTGAAATCGTTTGGTTTCCAAATTTTCAACTTGCAATTGTAAGCATTTTTGTACACTTTGGGGTCTTGTTACGCCATCGGCAGAATATGTATTAGTTACTGGAATTTTCTTTATTCTTAATAAAATAGCAATTTTGTGAAGAACCAAACAATTCAAACTATTTTCATCAAGTTGGTAATACATCAACTCAAAATTGCGATGAAGAAGCCAGATATTCCCAAAAGCTACTTAGAGTGAACTTGGGAAATGTTGTCCGACATTTATCTGCAGACTCTGGCTTGTAATGAGACCCTTGAATCTCTGTCTGCACTGCTTGTGCCTGAGAAATCTCTCGTGATGATGGATTACTGCCTATGATGGCTGTCTATGTGTGTAGGTGTGTGTTATCAGAGAGTATTGCCGAATTAATCAAAGTGAACTGAGTTCAGACAAATGCTTTTATCTCAAAGCAGTAAATGAAGCTTGTTCAATCTTAATGTGATATTTCATTAAACCGACATTTTTCGTTTAGAGGGTTGTACATATTTCCATCTGTTTAATAATAATGTTTGTGGTGACCCCAGACATTTGTATGTGGTATTTTTCTTCTGTTTGATATGTTGTCGATGCCTTAAAAGGTTGGCTTTTGCCAGCCAGTGAATATTAATAGATGTTTTTATCATGTCTTGTCACTTTATTTGATCTGTCTGTATTTGGAATTCGCAAGTGGTCTTTCTGACCACTCAGACTTTAATGTTTTATTGCTTCTGTACAGCAATGGTACGTGCATGAAGCCGAAGAGAAAGTAAAGACGGACAGCACTGACGGCAATACAGACACCACCAAGATGGACGACTCTAAGGAAGCAGCAAAAGTCGAGACAACACATTCAGCAAAAGACGCTGTAATTGTTATAGATGATGAGGATGAGGAGGATGTTGCTGAAGGGTCACAAGCAACAGGGAAACACAAGATAGGCACTCAAGAAGGAGACAAAATACTCTCAGAAGGCATTTCTAAACAGGAAGCAAGCAGAACTGGGGAAGGCATTCCATTCATCGGGACAGGAGAATCACAGACTGATGATCCGGATGGAGAACCGGCATCTGCAAGGTCGGGCAAGATGCAAGATGAGGAGAGTATTGTGGAAGGTGAGGACATGTTCATCACGGAGGACCAGGTGGGGCATCTGCTGCCTGACGATGAGGTTGAGGTGGAAGGAAGTCCAGAGCTCGGAGATACTGCCAGCCAGGAAGGGGTGGGATGTGATGTCCAAACACCTATGGAGCAAGAACTACTGGCTCAAGGGGAGGAGCTAATTGATGAGGAGCCTGCTGACGTGGAACTCCTGCCGACAAAGGAGCAAAATACCGGGGAAGTGGACCCATCTACAGTCCAGGAGAAAGAGCTGGAAGAGGAGGTTGAATCTCAGATGGATTTACCTGGAGGTAAGAAAGATCCAGAAGAGGAGGTTGAATCTGAGATGGATTTACCTGGAGGCCAGAAGAATGAATGTTTCACCAAAGAAGCAGAAACAGGTGGCAAGAATGTAGATCCTTCAATTGAAGCTGATGAATACCTGCAAACAGAGGAGATGGATGTCGGTGAGGAGAAAAGCCTACAAATTGACAATCAGGAGCTTCCGCTGACAGAGGAAGAGCAGCTTCCAGAGGAGAACAAGGAGCCATCAGCTTCAAAGGAGCTCCCTGCTGAAGTGGCTGTTGCAGAGGAGCCATCTCAGTCACCCACTGACAAGATGCAGGGGGGGAATAGTGTTAAGAGAAACCAAGAGGTGGACGGAGAGGAGGAACCACAGCACGAGGAGGTGACAGAGAAACCCAAGGAGGCTTGCTTGTCAGAAGATGATCTCTACGGGGATCTCGAAGAGGGGATGTATCAAAGAGACGACGACGACGACGATGCCTACTTGGTACAGCAGGATGGTCAGATGAACGATGATGCAGGCGACCATGAAGATGACGATGAAATGTTTGCCATTGACGAGGACTGTTGGGAGGTCCGATCAGAGGAGGGAGGCATTGCGCTCAGCAGCGATGAAGATGACAATGGTGTGCAAGGAGAAGCAGGGGAGGAGAATAAAATTGACCTTGGGTAACCATGGCAACTGTATACTTGAGGGAAACCTTACTTTATCCTCCTCCACAGTCTCTGTTTGTGATGTCCCCAGCATTTACAAAAGAGGTCTTCAAATTCCAGAATAAATGGACAAGAAGAATAAGTTAGCCACTGCAGAGCGCTGCACAGTTACGCAACTCATCCAGCTAACACAATAAGCCTTTTGTGAGTTAACTTTGAATGAAGTCTGGTACACAGAGTTCTGTAAATTCACTACTAAAGATGCTCTTGCTATACCTCGCTTTTCGGGGCAAGCTTTTGCTTCGTTACATAAGAAACGCCTCGCACCAATACATTGTTTTCAAGGAACAATAAGGGCAGAGAGGAACCAGTCCATTTCAGAAATGGTGGTTGCGCTGCAAATGCTTGCCCTGAATCACGAGGTATACAGTGTCTGTAGTCTGAGGAATTCAAGTTATGTTTATCAGATAATCAGATAACGCATTGCACCTGATTTTATCCAAGTTTAACTTGTAGAAGGCTTATTCCATTTATCAAATTCCACTGTCACTCACGGCCCGTGTACACGATCGGTATTACTCAACCAATGAGGCATTTGAAGCTTGCCAAAATGTAATGCCAACTTAGACGTAGCCTCCAGTTATGGTGGCAAAAGAGGATGAGGTAATGGGCTATAGAATGTTTCATTCTAACAGGCAAAATGGAACATTCCGCCTGTTACCAGTGTGAAACATGTATTAGTTGTTTTACATAATGCCTAATTGTCATGTTATTTTTAACTAGAAAGCTTGAAAAGAGATAACTGATATTGTAGGCTTTACATATGGAGAAACATCACAGTAAAGGCTCTCAAATGTGATACAGGTCACCAATAAAAACTGGAGTAGGAGTTGATGTGTATTCTATAAATTATATTCAAATGGTGGAAAACATGGTTCCCCCTTTACCTGTGTGTTTTGTCTTCACCTTTGACTAGAAAGTATTGTTTCGTCTTGATATGTGTTTTATAATGTTCACAAGTGGATAGAGGCCTTCTTTAAGAAAAGTAAACACGTACAATATATGGTAACTGTTAACCCGAGTAGAGTTCAATATTTTCAGAAAGCCACAGATGAGCTTTTTAGAAGGACGGTGTATCCTTACAAATCAGGTGACCTCTTTAAGCACCAGTGGCATTCTGATGACTTTCAAGCTGCAATTTCAATTTTAACAAACTACCACAAAAGCAGTGATAGACTCTCTTCGATTTTCATTTCCTGGTATGTTTATGCGTGCATACTCTGGCTTGAAAAGGTCGTTAATTGTTCTTTTGGGGGATTTTAACAGAGAGCCATCATTTCTCAAACACAAAATCATTTCCCAGACTTGGTTTATAATTGAAGGAATTAGTGAATTTGCCTATCTTTTGTTTTACTTTCACAAACAGCCTAATTGTCATCTCGGGTTGTGTCTTGTCTCAGTTGAGCTTTCAGAGTTACGACTTCGTGTCTCTGTGTATTTCCAATTGGCAGAGGCCTAGACCTAGCTCTGAATGTTTCAGAAGTAGCCGTGGTTAGTTTATTTCAGTGAGTTATTCACGCTAATGTAGTGTTAAGTTTGAAAGGAGCGGGGCTGTTAACCGTACCCCATTTAATGCAAAGATAGTGTGTTTAAAACAATGTTTGCTTCCAAGTTCATGGGAAAATGAACCAAATCTGTCATTTTGCTGTGTACTGCTTATTTTAGTGTGGATATTAAATAGAACACTCCAACGAAGGAAAGAGAGATGGTGCTTTTTTGTGGTGAAGATACATTGACAGCTTCCACACGCTTTTGAAGTGGGTCTTTAGTCAAAGGGGGCACCCAGCTCATGCTTCGGAAATTCCTGCAGAGCTCTGTAAAACAAAGTTTCTGGCTTTGGTGAGTACGTAATTGTGGTTTTTGCGTATCATGTTTGGTACAGTACGCTAGGGGTAATGAGTGGTAAGTCGGGGACATGAACTGTTGGTGGCACGTTTTCAGCATGTACACACTCCTCTGACAAACATTCAACTCAACCTTATGTGAATCAACCTTTCAGCTGTGAATCGACACTATATGAAGTTATCCTGGGATCGCTATAGACGTGTTGCTGTGAAGAACACCGGTAAATGTCACATTGTGAGTTTGTTCTTGCCAGTTTATTGTAGTTATTCAACTGTAAAATTTAGCTAAGATCTCAAACAAGTGTTGCCGTTATGATGTTAACGATGGTCGTTGGGTAGGCCGAAGTGACGATCTTCATTTTTTAAAATTTAAACACGGTCTGTGTCCTTTTTCATAACTAGCAAAGTCTAAATGAAGAATACTTGTCGGGGGGAATTTAACGATAGTTTTTCAGGTACTGAATTATTTCCTGTTATTATTACCTGCATCTGTCTTAGTTCACACCCAGTGAGTTGGGTGAGGAAAACTCACCGCAAATCCTGACAGCTGGCAAGATGGGCCGTCTCAGTTGCGTAACCTGGAGGTTCCTTGGCCGCTTGGACTGTCTGCTTCACATGGACCCTTGTCAAAAAGACAGGACGAGAGAAACGTCTCGAACTCGGATTTGCGATTGACTCTCCATTGCGGTCCAACAGCATCCCCCTACAAAAACTAGGTAAGAAATTTGCTGAACTTGTTACAGAAAAAGGGTCCTGTAATTCATCAAAGGAGGGGTGGCATAGGCCCCTGGAAGGATTTCTGGAGGTTGTTTGAACACTGTACTGTTGCAAAATAAGGCTTTGGTTTATTATGAAATGGGGTAGTGCCTTGTATGCAAGTGCATGCTGGCTGTCTCTTGTCTTGCCTTTTCCAGTGCATGCCGAAAAATGCATGTAACCTCGTTCTTTGTTGTTTTCATTCCAGTGATGGTGAAGAGGTCAAAATTCGTTTGGAGGAAATTGCCCGTCACCTGAAGCAGAAAGGGGAACACTGATCAACCACCTTCTGATATACATCAACCTGGAAGATGAAGAAATCAAATACGAATCTTGAACCCGCTGGGACATGTACTTTTGGAGATATAGGGCTTTAAAGGATGCACCTTTAATGTCACGTGACTTATCAACTGATGATGTCATCATCTCATTGATGCATTTCACTCCTAAATGTATCGTTTGAGAACGGACAGCGTTGTTTTATCTTTAGGTGCCCTTCATACCAAATTCAACATTCTTGCATAACTTGCATTTAAGATTGCTTGTAAGCGATGTCAGAAATGGTGTTAATTTGGATGAAGAATGTACACCCTTTATCAGTTATCTCAGGACCTTTGACCAGACTATCCCGGCAAATGACAAGACTTTTGTTGATCAGTGAACTATATCTATGTTTCTTATTATATATATCTTAGTAGGGTTGACATCTCTCTGATAGAAATATTTCAACCTTTTATGTTCATCGTCAGATCACAGACGTCTGAGGGAAATGAAATGGGCACTGAAAGAGAACAACCCCCAAATCAACAACATGTATCGAGCACCGTACACCATCAGCAGGGACATCTTGTTGCATTCGGTGACAGGCATCTCACTGGTGATGGACACGCTAAGGAGGTGTGAAGCATTGGCGTACTACCAAGAATCAGCCAACCTAACTAGCAGTTGTGTCCGTAGCAAACGGAGTGCCTGATGACCCATAAGCTTCGTTGTCGCTCTGCTTTCAGCCCCAATGAATAAAAAAACCATGCAGTTTTGTTTATCAGTAAAAGCGTAGCCACTCATCAGCCAGTTCCCCTACGATACATATAGCTGCAATGACGTACCCTGGATCAAGGCATTGATCCGTAAAACGGAGAGCAGTCAGCTCAAGATTAGTAGTCGGGACAATGTTTCCAAGGTGGACCTATTTCATGAATCAACCAGAGCCAAGGTCCCATCCTGAAGTTGTTAACCACATGCCTTTGACGAAGGACTTGGACAAGCGTTCCTGTTCAGGTAGGTCTTATTCTTTGTCCAAGTTATCTTCTGGTTTTTGTACTCGCAAACTTAGCGAGTTGTAAGCCGGACAGTGCCTGAACGTGTCTATACGCCTAGGTCGTTGTCAGTTGCAACAACTGTACGTAGACAAATGCTGAAAACGGACTGTATCGGAAGTTTTTGCAGCAGTAAATTCATTGTACTGAATCCACGTAAGGTCACTTGATGCACCGCATGCTTGTTCTAAACTTATGGGCCTGCTTTGCTTCTTAGACTCTTGAGTTGTGAGCCATCTTGCGCTTTATGCTTGCACCCCGGAGATAATGATAGATCCATTCTAGGAATACTTTCCAGCTGCCTCTCTACATGGTGAGTCACTGTTTTTTTGGCAATTTTTTTTTCGCTTCACTCAACATCCATTGACTGGAACGGTAAAGCCTATATATGTAGGCCAGCAAAACATCTCCCAGAAGCGCTTGTCGATACTGCAAACTTGCAAAGTATGATTTTTTAATTCTTTTAGTGGGGGAAGGAAAGGTGATACTGTACTGGTTTTTGGGTGAGGGCACCCGGGGGAAACCAGGAATTTGTGGGAAGAGGGGCGCATGTGCCCTCAATCTGGGCCCCCATGGCTGTGCCTCTGCCCAACAAATTCTTTGAAGGGGGTGTATCAGGAAACGAGAGAAGAATTTTTTTTCCCAACTTGATCTGGGCTACCTCGCTGACCCCAGAAATCGGCTGCCATCTTGCTGTTTATCAAGGGTGCAGACCACTAATTCAAGTGAGAATTTTTGACCAGCTCATTAGCATTAAAAGTGCCCCACAGTATCTTTTGAAAAAGGAGATTGTTTGGCCCCCAAAATGGTGAGATT